AGTGTTAGTTCATGTGATTTAAATATGTCCAACATAACACAGTCTAACCCAAGAGGAACTTTAGATAATTAAAACAAAAACATACTCTCACAGCCATGATTTTTTTTTACATATTATAACTGCAAAAATATTTTGTATTATACCCTATAGCAGCCCTTCTATTCATAACAGTACTGTCATTTTCATCAAACAAAGAAATGTAATTTTGGGGAGATAAGAAATTATTTTGGTTTTGGTCAGGTTTTCTTAGAATTTAATGGCAAAATATAACCTGGTCCACAATTTTTTGTAAATTTGGTGACAGAAATACATTTTGGCCCCCTGCCATTCTATATGTATGTGTGCATTTGTATACTCAGGTTATTGTGAATGGGTAAAGTCGTATGAACTACATTTATGGTTCCTTTGGTCTGTGTTTGTGTGTTTACAGATGCAATTTCGTGTGTTTTGAGGTTAATGTTTTTCAAGTATATCAAGTATTACTGATTTGAAATGCTGAAATGTTATTACGTGGGAAGTTATACATATTTCTGTTGCTTCATAATTTTCATAATTTCCTGTTGTGTCCCACACATTGCAATCAGGCATTTGCATCTGGGCATTCTCCTCGAAGAAACATAAATATACAGTGTAAACTTTACAGAGGCAAGTGGTCTGGTTGTTTAAAAGACAGACAGTTCTTCAACAAGGTTAGTATAATTACGATTATTATTAGGATGTTTAAGGAGGCCAGTACATCATCCATGAAGAAGTAGAGTACAGGAACAGGAAGGGTCAAACAGTCTGTCAAACCCCCAGACCACCAAGCCTTTATAAAAAAAGGAAATGAATTTCATACAGAATTTTACATGTGGTAAATTCACTCACAGGCATATCTAATGTGAATGATCATATTTGATGTGCTTTTTTTTGCAAGGGAGTTACTCTTCTTTTCAATGTTTTTTTCATGTGTTCATATTTGCTGCAAAGTGTTAGGGACCACAAAAACGAGAGAAACTGGGACTATTTTTGTAATCTGCAGCTGAATTTTAGCTGCGTTTTTGCCTCTTGTTTGTTTTTTAGTCTCTTACAGTTTTATTCCAACATGAGATATCTATGACTTGAAGCGTGACATTTTCAGGACTTTGACAAAAAGATTGTTGGCATGAAGGTTAGCTCACTGTTTAATAATAGTATTACAAATGTTATTTTTTGACTCGAACACATCACAAACTTGTTAAAGTCAATATGATGTAACTCCATTTCATTTTTGAATTATTTTGTCTATTTTTGTTATATAAAATGTTGTTAGGTAAAACCATTTCCAGAATGTATTTTTTGCATTTCAAGCTCCATCCATATTGATGTCTGAAGAGATCACTTTATGAAGAATAATATAAACTAAAACCACATTTAGATATCATACACAATATGCTGTAGATCAACAACATGTTTTATTCATCCAATACTTGAAAGAAAATATATCTACTCTGTATTTATTTAATCATTTAGTCATTAAAATGAATGGAATTATCAATTTGACAAAGTGGATCCTGTCTTGTTTTGAGTGGATGTTAACTGATTGTACAATGCTTTTGTCTGGTTTGGTTTAGGGCTGCAACTAATGATTATTTTCATTGCCAATTATTGTTGTTTGGTCTATGAAAATGGTGAAAAATAGGCGTTTCCTAAAGCCCAGGGTGACGTCCTCAAATGTCTTGTTTTGCCCACAACCCAAAGATATTCAGTTTACTGTCAGAGAGGACTAAAGAAAGCAGAAAACATTCACATTTGAGAAAATGAAATAAATTAATTTAGACTTTAAAAATGACTGAAACCAGCTGCACATTAATTTAATAGCTGACAAGTAATCAATTAATTGTTGCAGCTCTATTTGTCCAGTATTGCCAATTCAGTTGTTTACTAAGTGATAGTGATTTTTAGCAGGAATTCACTACATTAACTAATAAATCCATCTGTTGATTGTGAACTGTTAATAAAGTGATAAGCAACAAGGTAATGACCTATATATGATTAGGCAAGTTCATTGGGTAACCATGGTAACAGGTGAATGTCACCGTGAGTCAACCAGAAAGTGAAAATGAGCTAAAACAGATAGGAAGTGAATTAAACGTAGCGACCACACAGCATCCTCCCATAACATTACAGTTACTGTGACATGAATAGAATATAAATGAACACATGATAAGGTTCAGTACAGCTGACCTGCTGTCAGGCATCAGGTAAGTTTTTCCTGTGTGGCTCCATGTAGTGCTGATGATGCAGCATGACATCACCAAAACTATCCAATCAATAAGCTACCTGTCAATTCATGTGACTTTTTGTTTACTCCTTTTGGAGTCAGTGTAAACAGGAACAGGACGGGAACTGAAAGGCAATAATGTGTGATTTATTCCCTCAGCCTGGACCGAATGAACCCAACTACAGGCCCTGAAGCCAATGACTGAGGTTGTAGTGATAACCTGTATCAGAAAATAAGTGCACGTGCAACATTATCAGCAGTAAGCAATGATTTTTGTCCACGTTCCCCAGGTCTGACCCTATTTTGTGACCTTTAACCTGTGTGGGGGGAGAAGACATGTGGCATAACATGTTGAAAACAGAATGTGAGGTTCTGTCAGTTAAAGCAGCAGTTCAACCAACTGATCATTCATATTATATCGTATATTTCAAACTGCTCTTATTTCTTGCTGTTCTCTAAAGTTACTTCGATCATGTCTTTTTATAGTTCCTCTTTCCTCCATGGGGCCAGCAAATCATGGGGTTCACTTTATCCCAGTTTAATTCAATTACATTTTTTCAATTTTATTTGTATAG